CCCTTCTTTTTTTAAAAATATTTATTTATTTATTTTTCATTTCAATGAACATCTACAGAGATTTTGGAATTCCGTTCATTCATTGTTGCACCCTTCTCCTTGAAAAGCAAAACTCCCCCATTGGTACACAATCCCCCCCGCACCTCCCCCAACCCCACCCCAAACCCAAATATAATCCACTCTGCAACCCTCAGTAGGAGCGTGAAGTGTTTTTAAGCCAATAGATGGTAAAGAGGGGCGTGGGGTAGATTTTTCGCCTCCATCCCCTCAAGAGCCAACCCTTCTGACAATGTAGTTTTGGATTTCTGGTCTCCTGAACCATGAAAGAGTAAATTCCTTTTGTTTCAACAGACTTCATTTATGGTAATTTTTCATGACAACCCTTGAGAATTCATCTATCTGAAAATACATTAACTTGGTAAAAAACACAGAAGGAAAATTCTGCATTTATTAATATCCAAATTCAAAAGGAAAATTAATAAAAGCAATATTAAAAGGCAAAATCTTAGTAGACTTTAAGGTTAAGTTACAGTTGTTCCTATATATTTTTTACTACCAGTATCTGAAATTCTACGACATGTTAAAGGAAAAAAGTTACTATGAGAATACATAAAATTGAGATGTCAAAAAATGTTACTGATGCCAGGTGAGCGATTACGTGAAATGGTAAATCTGTGGGACACTAACATGTTCATTTCCCGCACTCACTCGTCAGTTTGCTGTACTGCGATGTGATGCTGGGACCAGTCACTCATGGCGGGCAGCGTTAGTGGCACTTCCAAGCGAAGCCAGAATAAAAGCAGGACTGGCCATCCATTTCTGAGATAATGGGCCCTCAAAAACCTATGAATTGCATTAGCAAATACTGTTGTACGATGTCAGAAGTTGAGTTTCAGGTAGGAAGATCCTCAAAATGCAATGCTGCCTTCTCTCACCACACTGCCCCTTAGTGGTGAAGAATGACGAGCACTCGAATCCAAGGAACTACTTTCATTGACTCATGGAGTTGTTGCTACTGTTAGAAACTATGGAACCACCTATGACTCCCAGCGACTCTACAAGTGGAAGATCTGAAGCTTATCCTGTGCCATGCTCGTGATCTCTGATATGTGTGAGCCCAATCTGACAGTCACTAACAATTCCAGGCTCTTACTCTCTCTCCAATCCTGCACCTTTCCCAGCGTGATGTCTTTTTCCAAGGGCTGGACCCTCCACACAACAGGCCCACAATAAGGGAGATGAGCTTTCACTCCCTTACCTCTAAAGAGCACTCTGGTTACACTTTTTCCAAAACAGACTCATTCGTTCTTTTGGCAGTCCATGGGATAGATTCAGTACTCTTCTCCAACACAATAATTAAAAGGCATTGATTCTTCTTCTATCATCATTCATTGTCCAAACTTCAGATGTATAAGAAGAAACTGAAAATATCATGCTTTGGATTAGGTGAATCTTGGTCTTGAAACTCTCCATTTGTTTTTCCCAGCTTCTGGTACTACTACGATGATGATGACGACGACGTACTACTCTTAAGTGTGAACTATTATTCCTAAAATCACAACAATTTATGGCTAAAGTTATGAATAGTATGAATCACAGGACACTTGATTGTGTTCATGTGAAACTTCTACTTAGGCCAGCAAGCATTTGTCCAAGCAGAGCAAGGAAACACTATATGATACAAAATAAAGAAAGAAACATGTCAAGGACGTGTCCTACCTCCATACCTTTACAATCTATATGTGGCACTGGTCATTTGAGACTTTATGAAGAGAAATGTGGCATCAGGATTGGAAGAAGACCTATCAATAAATAACCTGTGTTATGCAGATGACACAACCTTGCTTGCTGAATCTAAGGAGGACCTGAAGCCTTTGCTGCAGAAGGTCAGGGGCTGTGGCCTTCAAAACGGATTGAAGCTCAACATCAAGAAAAGAGAGTCTCACCAGTGGGCCAATTGGTAGCATCATGATAGATGGGAAAGAGATTGAGGTTAATTTCAGCATGTTTGGTTCTACAATTAACACTCTTGGCACCAGCAGTCAGGAAATCAAAAGATGATGCATTTGGAAAGTCTCTTGTCAGGGACCATTCCAAGTGTTGAAGAGCAATGTTGTCGATCTGGAAACTATGGTGCACCCAATCCAGGCCATGGTCTTCAAAAGGACTTGCTATGAATGAGAGATCTGGACAATGACTAATGATTATAGAAGAACTGACTTTAAGTTGTGATGTTGGAGAAGAATACTGAACCTACCATGGACTACCAACAGAAAAAAACATGTCTGTCCTGGAGAGAGTGAAGCCACATTGCTCCTTGGAGGCAAGGATTTGGAAACTCCATCTCACATATTTTGGCCACGTTGCCAGGAGGGACTAGTTCTTGGAGAAGGACATCAGGTTTTAAAGAGTGGAGAGGCAGCTCAGAAGAGGAAGACCCTGGATGAGATGGATCGACACATTGACTGTAGTAATGGGGACTGGTGTGTCAGAGACAGATTGGGTCAGCATAGGACAGTGTTTAGAGCTTTTGTTCATAGGGTCACTATGAGTCATAACACATCACACAAGGGCACATAAGAACAAGTCTTGAAACTGGCATTACTTCTGTTCAGCACCTTGGAGAGGTCTTTGGACAGCAGAAATGCTCAATGCAACACACCTTTTGATTTCTTGACTAGTCTCATGGGTGTTGATTGTGGACCCAAGTTAAAATGATTTTGTTGTCAACTTCAATCTTTTATCACAATGTTGCCTATTAGTCTACTGGTGAGGATTTTTGTTTTCTTGATGTTGAGAGAGATTGATATTGAAGGCTTATGTAACATGACTTAAAATGAGAACAACTACAAACATCTATTATGAATAAAAATGTGGACTGTATCAAGCCTGAATCTTGGATAATTGTAAGTTGTCAAATAAGCCCATATCCCAAGATTTAGTGAGTTTTAATGGACTGCAATTGGACATTTTAATCTTATTAAACATATGATCCACTAAGTGAGGATTGAGAAATTGACAAGGAATAGTGTCAAAAGGAATTTTCAAGACCTCTACTTATATTCTTCAAATGTTTACAAATATTTTCATTTAAATGGATAGGAAATTTTAGCTTAAGAGTACTTTAATTTTCAGAAAACCATTCAGAAGCATATGCTAGCCATTCCCTGCTGCTTTATTTGCTTGTGTGTGTACATGTGCACACACACACACAGAGAGAGAGAGAGAGAGAGAGAGAGAGAGAGAATGCTTTCATCAAATTGTTCTTGTTATGTGTCATCAAGTTGCCTGTAACTTATAGCAACAATAGCTATGGACCCACCCCATCATGAGCTAGTCTCACTGACTGCAATACATCTACTCCCATTATCCTAGTTACTATGTCAATGCATCTCTTCCATGGTCGTCCACTCTGGCACTGTCCCTCCAACCTTCCAGGTATAATGTCCTTCTCCAAGGACTGGTCCCTCCTGGCAACATGCCCAAAGTATGTGAAATGAAGCCTTAATATCTTTGCCTCCAGAGAAACTTGGTTCAACCTTCTCCAGGATAAAATTTTTTGTTCTCTTGACAGACCATTCAATACTCTTCTCCAGTACCACAATTCAAAGGCATCTATTGTACTTCTGTTATCCTTTTCTTGCTTTCTGATGCATAGCAGTAAATGAGAAGACTATGGCCTGAATCACAGGTACCTTAGTCTCTAGCCTGTCATCATTACTCTTCAGCATTCTGGAGAGGTCTCTGACAGCAGATTTCCCCAATGCAGTATGTCTTTTGATTTCCTGACTGCTGGTGCCAAAAGTGTTGACTGTAGAACTGAGCAAGGAGAAATTGTTACCACCTTCAATCTGTTGTGAGGAGAACCTGTTTCCCTGATATTGAGCATTAATTCAAATGAAGAATACAGTCCTTGACCTGCAGCAAATGCTTCAGGTCCTCCTCAGTTTCATCATGCAAGGTTTTATTATATGCATAACACAGATTGTTGATGGGTCTTCCTCCAATCCTGATACCACATTCTTCTTCATAAAGTTCAGCCTTCTGAATGAACTGTTACACATGTTGTTGTTTTTGTTGGTACTGGGAATATTGTAGCTGATGTTAGATGGATCTTAGCTGAAAGCAGAGAATATCAGAAGAATGTCTATTTGTGTTTCATTGATTATGCAAAGGCATTTGACTGTGTGGATCATAACAAACTGTGGCTGACTCTGAGAAGAATGGGAATCCCAGAACATTTAATC